TGACATACTTAATAAAAATTGAAAAGTTTTGTAAAATCTATCAGAAGAAATGATAATATATAGGGTGTCCCATTTAAAAAAAATGCGATTTTTTAATTTTAAGTAGTTGAAATTCATAAATATATTTTGAACACCCTGTATCATTTAACTAAAATCTCTTTATATATATATATATATATTTTTTTTTTCATCTCTATAAAACTCACCTACCAAATTTTGGTACTCCAACTTCAGAAACAATAGCACCACTGACAATTTTTTACAACACTGCAATTTAACATTTGTTTAAACAAATTGAAATATTACAAAAACTATTAATTTTAGGTATATAACATTATATATACAAAAGTTATGGAATTTTACGCAGAATCTAAAAATAAAATAAAAAATAGGGTGTTGCATTTAAAAAAATATATGTTATATCCGCCACACTTTTTTGAAGCACCTTGTATACCCTATAATAATTTCAAAATGTGTATCTTAACCTTCCCTACAACTTTTGCATTTCAAATTTTTTTGTAAACCTCGAAACAAATGAGATAATGGACTTTACTCTATCGTTGACTCTGTACCCAGATCTTGTCTATTTCGTCCTTCGCCTTTTTCTTCATAATGTTCCTTAACATGCCGCAAATCGCTTCGATATTTTCATTCGATGATGTTAGAAGGTTTCTGACGTTTAGTAATCTTTGTACCACATACTGTTTCTGCGTTTTCCCGTATATCTTCGTGCGCGAGACACTCAAATAGTGTATGGTTAGCAGAGTCTGACGCCTCGCAATACCAGCATGTAGGAGAGTCAGCCTTGCGGATCCTGTGCAAATACTCGCCAAATACTCCATGACCAGTGACTTGCGTGTTTAGTAGTCCGTGTTTGCTTGGTCGCATATCATCCAATCTTTAATATTGAGTATGAAAGTCTTTGTCCATCCGCTATATGCTTCCCATCGTGTCTGCCATTGCTCTAGTACCATATTTCTGGCCTCTTTCCGGAAGAAAGTTCCATTTTTATATATTTGGTTTCTTTCCTGGATCAGTAGACTGATCAGAGGTATCTTAGCAAGACACAGTACCGCTATTGTTGGACATGCGCAGTATGCCGATGCAACCCTGAGAAGTGAACCTTCTTTTGAGGTTTTATAACTAAATTATCCAGCTTAGATGATTAGATCCTTTACCTTGCGTTGTCCAACGAGAATGACCAGCTCAGTTTTTTCTGGGGTCAGTTTGACGCCCATGCTTTCCAATTTATTTTTAATCGCTAGCGCAGCCGTCTGAACCTTTCCTTCAAGGATCGTGTAGGTGGATGCAGTTATTAAGAGGGCTAGATCGTCCGCATAAGCTGAGATCGTGTTGCCAACACCTGTATCGGTTCTAAGTATCTGACCGTAAATGCTAGGAATAACCAAGAAAGACCGTAAAAGAATAGAGTGGATACGACAAAAGACCCAGGTATAGATGTCATCCACAGAATCAAATCCCTCAAGTGGAAATGAACAGGACACCTGGCAAGAAGGACAGACGACAGATGGGCCACAAAAATTACAGCATATGGAGAGCTTAGAGAGCTAGTAGAAGATCAAACCTGAGATGGGACCATGGTAATAGGAAATTAGCAGGGATAACTTGGGTCCGCATAGCCAACAATAGACAACAATGGGTCCAATTACAAAAAGCGTATCTAAATATGTGAGAAAGGTTATACACCATAATTGAAAATTGTTTGAATAAGCTGAAAATGATGATGATTAATGCTAATAAAAATCTAAAAAAATATAAACTGTGTACGGTATCAATCTATATATTTGCAATAATCACAGTCCGAAAAATTGGTTATTTTCTTTTTGACTGTTGTGCAAAGCTGTACGATTAAGACTACTTTCTCCTAGATTTTGAAGAAAGTTTTCAAGTATAAACCTCTACGAACCAAACCCACACCTCTATCGACTGACCACCGGTACCAGCCCCTTTTTCACACCCACCCCCTCTTTCCCAGTGCCGACAACGAGCCTATACACCACCCTCAGCCCCTATTCTAGCTATTTAATCGCGCTCGGGCGTACTTAATTCGGAATTTCATTTGTAGCGAGGCCGCGTCAGGTCGCAAATCAGGAAAAGGGTAATTTCGGCGACCGGCTCTCTCTTCCTAAATTAATACCGTTACCGGCGGCAGCGGAGAGAGAAACTGCGCTAACTTTATTACCGGCCGCCTCAAGTGCCGTTTATTCGCGACGAATCGAGTTATTTAAGTCGATTATAAACTTTTCGCGCACCTTAAATTCTCTCAAGTTGCGCGACGTATGAAGCTTGCTGGATATTGACTCGGGTTTAAGCGCTTGTTATTAAACGTCTTTGGGAAATTAATTACAAGGTATTTCTTTTTTTAACAACAAGCTTTAGTTTATTAACTTTGGTACAACATTTTTAAACTGATGCAAAACATTTAAACAAAGTGTTTCAAATTCGACTATCATCATTAGAATTTGGGAAACAATAAAAGATACAGGTTAGTTCAAGTTGCGTGTCGATAATCCCAATGATGTAAATTGTATTGCGAGTAGAAGGGGGGATAATTACTGCGACTTTATAGATCTCCTAGCGTGTACCAGCGACTTCGTTCGCGTCGAATTAATCATTTGTAATGGTGATGATAAAGCAAAGCAAGAAATTCCATTAACATACAAACTGGATAAAATTTTCTCACATTTATGTCAGCATGAGAAAAAACAATATGGCGATATTATTATATAACTTGGTAATATTTGAGGGGTAGTTTCATCTCGTTGGAATTTGACTTTCAATAAATCAGTTTGCCAAAAATAAGCTTTTTACGTCAAGCAGTTTAAGCAGAATCGTGGTTAAGAAATTACCCAACTTTTTGGAACACCCTGTATGATTTTTTAAAAAATTTCAAAATATGTAAAAAACCCAAATAAATTATGCTTGTCCAAGCATTTTCAGGAAAGACTAACCGTTTTTTAAATAACAAATATTGTAATATTTGAGGGGCGTTTTCACCCTCTTGGAATTTGAGATTCGAGAAACCCCTCCTTATCGAACCTCTACACCCAATCAGTTTGCCAAAAATCAGCTTTAAACGTCAAGCAGTTTAAGCAGAATCGTGATTACTCAATGGTCAAATTTTATGAAACACACTGTATAAATTTATAAAAAAATCTTAAAATATGATAAAAAAATAAGTTATACGTGTTTAAGAGTTTTTCCGAAAAACTCACCGGTTTTAAAATAAAAAATATTTTAATATTTGAGGCATAGTTTCAGCCCCTTAGAATTCGAGTTTCGAAAAATCCACCTCTACACCCTAAGGTAATCTGTTTTCCAAAAATCAGCTTTTTACGTCAGGCGCTTTAAGCAGGATCGTGATTAATCAATGACAAGATTTTTCGAAACATCCTGTATACATTTTTAAAAAATCTTAAAATATGTAAAGAAACAATATAAAATATACGCATTTAAGCGTTTTTTCAGAAAATTGACCGTTTTTTAAATAAAAAATATTGTAATATTTGAGGGGTGGTTTCACCCTCTTGGAATTGGAATTTCGAAAAATCCCTTCTTATCGAACCTCTACACCCTAGAATCAACCTGTATGCCAAAATTGAGCTTCTTACGTTGAGTGGTTTGAGCAGGATCGTGATTAATCAGTATGTCAGTCACTTAAGGATTTTATATATTAGTATAGATTGTGTCCCCCTTTCGTGAGTTATAATGCATCATACAGTCTATAACCAATTCGAGGCGCAGTTTCGAATCTAGACAAAGTTTCAAGAGCTCAGAACCCAACTTGCCGATAAGCAGATTTATATGCGAATGCTCATAAGAAAATTAGCAGGTTAGGTATGAATAAGCTGTGATACTACTAGGGGCTACACGAAGAAGAAATACTGTCCCTACCACAAGACGACGCCCCAGAAGTTCTCGTTGGGGTAGTAGAAAAGGCGCTTCAAGATATGAAAAATGGAAAAGCAGCAGTGTGTACTAGCAGTCATGACTTATGCATGCGAAATCTGGACACTTACAACGGACATCATAAGGAAACTGCGGGTCGCACAACGCTCAATAGAACGAAATATGCTGGAAATTACCAAGACAGACCGTAAAAGAATGGAGTGGATACGAGAAAAGACCCAGGTAATAGATGTCATCCACAGAGTCAAATCCCTCAAATGGCAATGGGCCTGAACCTGGCAAGAAAAAAGATTGACAGATGGATCACAAAAATTACAGCATGGTACCCACGAGGAATTACGAGACTTAGAAGAAGGCCGAACCTGAGACGGGACCATGATATTAGAAAAATAAGAACGGAACAAAAGATAATGGGCCCAACTACAAAGAGAGTATGTGAGGGAGGCTACACCATAATTGGAAATGATTGAATAAGCTGAAAATAATGATGATGGTGATGATTCAAATAAAGCAATATAAATGAAATAGGAAATATTTGGAAGTATTTAGAATTTTTGACCAAATGGCGCAACTATGTTCCCTCGAATCTCTTCGCTTGAAGCACCCTGTAGGTACACGCATCATGGTATATCAGAATTATAAATATACCTTTCTCACGTTTATGGAATTATTCGGTACAAGTCATACTTAAAGCCATTTCCCAGCGAAACAAAGAAGTACCGTTTAAATCTCTTTTTATTAAAAAAACCTCAATTACTTTTAAGACTGAAAATCTTTTGTGTAGAAAACGGCGAAACGCGATGAAAAATGCACCGAACAATACCTACATCGTCCAAAAACGAAAAAAAAAAAAGAAAAACACAAGGAGCCTGGCAGCCGTATGCGCCGACAGCAACATGATTAGGCATTTCCAGCACAACTCACACATAGACACATAATTTTCAACCTTAATTATGTCAAATTAGTGCAGGTAAAATGACTGACAGCTCGAGGCGTGCGCTCGTTATTATTAATTCGTTAAAAAAATAAACGGAAACGTTAAGTGGATAATTAATTCGTCGTCGATTTACCTGACAATGGAAACCTACCGTCATCCTGCGGCTTGACTGACTGACTAACGCCTCCTTTCCACCTTAACAAGCCAACCGTTTTGTTTAAACGGTTATTAGAGGTGGAAGCCAGGGTGTGAACTGAAAGTTTCTTGGTGCTATTGGTTAATGGAACGATACAACTGATAATTAATGTAATACTTCCTTTCGAATTCCCGTAATTTGCTAGTAGAAAATGCCACGTCATTATTTGAATATTTTATCTGTAGTATACCTGGTGTTTTGAGATGGTAACTAGTAATACAGTAAACTTATTCTCACAATGCCGCGTCCTTTTCTAATTCGAAGTTCAATAAAACACAAGTTTACTTAATCGGTGTAATGAGTTGCATAGAGGCCACTAGCTTTTAATTTTAACAGCCGGGTGGTCGGGGTTCAAAGATCTTAATAAAAGGGAGCCACGAGATTATACTCTATGAACTCGGCATAAAAGATGTTACTATTAAGTAGACTTCAACACCTAACCTGTTGAAGTTAACTAAACTGTTGAGTGTAACTACCATGAACTTCAAATCTTACTATAATTATTTGAACTTAAGTGACTCTAACTTAACTATGAGACTAGACTGTAAATAATACTACTAAAAATGATTAAGCAATTTATTAAATGTCAAAAGTTAATATATCAAGAAATGAAAGAAATGAAATTTAAAATAAATGAAATTTAAATCAAGAAAACTAACTAAAAGTATGACGTCATAATCCCCCTTACTTAAACTAAGTACAAAATCCTGGGTGGATTACAAATATCAAACTAAATCTAAACAGTCTTACTCTAAGTCTTGAAACTACTTGACAATTCCTCCGGCTGAGCTACGGTGCATAGCTATGGGGGCTACGACGGTGTACAGCAGCTCGATGCGATGTCACTGGAGCCCACGGATGTCAGCAGAGGTACAGATACCAGGCAGGTGTAGGACTTCAAAAGATGACACAAAAAACCCTAAATAATATTGGTTGTCTTAGAAAAGAGCCTCAATTATAGAACAAGGACTAGCACAACGTGTAGGTGTCAATAAAGGTAATAAAGAAGGACTAATTAAATCTGAACTTTACCTCAACGAGGGTTTATGATGTCCAACGGGTACCTCTACACGGACAACAGGAACGGATGAAATTCTGGACTGTTCGGTGCTCTACGGTCTGGATCGGTCTTCTTGCTCTATAATTACGAACAACCAAATAAGATTTAAGAAAGATAACACTCAACTAATCTTTCTACACCACGTGGGCGTGGAAAAGTCGAAAACCAGACAACAATATGAACAAAAATCAGTTGAGCATTGACTTGGCATTGAATAGGCAGAAGAATTATAGCATACCTTGGAACTATTCGGGGACTTCTTGGGCACGTGGAATCGGAATATCGGTCGGACAATTTGGCTATTTTAATCCCATTACGGAAATTGGTTGGCGGTCCATACAATAAAATACAACCACGTCTCTAACCAAATATGCTTCGGAAGACTTAATCCTTCTCTAGGAAGACCTGTTAAACAGGGAATGCTTCAACAGAACTACCAACAGGGAATGCTTCACAAAACGGCAACCAGTTCTTCACGACGATACCCAGTCGGTGGATACACAAGTGATGCAAGGATTCGATTTCCTTCACAAAATCAGATTTCAACCGGAAATCTCCCTCCAGGATATAGATAGAGAACTATATATCTCGACTGGTCCAACTCACAAAAAGGCATAAATAAAAAATGATGTTCTAGAATATTTTCCACTGCCATATTTCATATCCAGTCAATGAATGACTTAACTCAGAAATTCAAACAATTAAATGAACGAATTGCACACTGCGATCCACATCAAAAATAAACAGTTTAACTACGAAATTTTATCTGATAATTATAAAATTTCAATAACCAAAACAAAGGATAAATAAATCCAAAAACATGTGATTTGATCTGACAGTGACAAGTGACGGACAGGTGATATCAAAGATAAAGAGAGCTCGACAAAAAATCTACTGCTGGGCGGCCGTATCCAGTGACAATATTGTGTAGCTGTAGCTGTATAATATCGCGGTGTATATCGGGTTGCATAATTGTAAAATTTAAATAAAATAATATTTAACAATAAAATTATAGTAAAGATGATGCAAAAATAATAGTTATTTGGCGATAATTTATGAGCTAGCACACAGAGGTCGTAGCGAGGAAATTTGACTGTTACAACAAGGATGAAACCTTAGGCTCTCAGTAATAGCTCTCTACTGATAGATGTATGTGCTTTGAATACCGGCCTGTTTGGGGAGTTCGCCCTGTGACACCTTGGCAGATACAGGGTGAAAAAGGTAACTAAAATTAAGAGTTACTTAACTTAAATTTGTATGGCTGATTTTTGTATAAATATTGTAGAATATTACTCTGAAGTAGTATCAAAAGTATCAGACACTTTTCATGAACCTGAACTTTTATCAGACGATAGCAAATCAAAAAGTGGATCTTTGATAAAGATAGACTTTATCAAAGCTCCACAAAAAATAAAGGAAGGAACAAAAAAAAGTAACTTTACTTATTTTTTACATGTTTTTTACGTATGTTATTAAGACAGCTACTATTAAGTTATATTTAAACAGTCAGACCGATTGAAATGACCAAACATCCTCTAAACATAAAAATTATTTAGCCATAACTATGAGCGCGAGAGAACTATGCGCATGCGTTTCCGAGTAAAGTAATTAAATATTTTAAAAATACTTACTGCTTTCGATTATTTTTGCATCTCTATTTAAATATGAGATGAGCTTTTTTATTAAAGCAATAATTAATAGTTATTAAAGTATTAATTTATTGAATATAAACTACTCAAAAAAATTATCGCATATTTTCTAAAAAATATTAGTTTGAAAAACAAGATACCTTGAATTCTCTGACTTACGTTTTTAAATAGTTTGGATACTGTAAAGGGAAATATACAAACCAAACCAAACTCAAGAAGGCCGTAGAAATGTTCACAAGACTTGCATCTTTTTCCCCAGCATATTGGAAGTAAGGACTTAATCAAGATGCAGCTGACAGTACCACTGGCGACAAATGTTCCAGTCATGGTACATTTGTTGTCAATGTGGTACCTAAATGCGACTGAAAACTGAAAGTGATATTTTGGAGTGGCAAAATAACCCCAGAAAAATCACTAACCGTGCACTTGTTGCTCGCGAATTTTGTAACTTGGAATCTATCACACCGTACCGAACTCTGATTCTGACGTAATAATTCGAATTTTATTGTCAGCTCCAGAACCCGTAATAGTCTTAATTACACTTTATAATTTTTAAGCTTCACGATCATTCATAAATGCTCCAAAGCCCAATATTTAGCTTATAAAACAATTTTTTTTTTTTTTTGTTAATTTTTTTTTGACGGAAGATAATCAAGGGCCAAAATGAAATTCTTGTCCCGAAGTTTAACTAGTGAAATATAACATATACATAATATGACCAACAATTCTCTAGAATGATAGAGAAGTTCACCAATTTTCATTTAAACAATTACACAAAAAGAAACTGCTACATTGTTGCTTCGAGCTCTATCAGACAGTAACTGTCTAGTTAACTAGCTAAGTTACTGTTTGATCGAGCTCAAAACAATAATGTAGATGTAGCAGTTTCTTATTGAATAATTGTTTAAATAAAAAGTGTATTTAGATGTATAGTATTTTACAATGAAAATTCTTTGTGATTCCATTGATGTAGAATGTAGAATGAGTAAATGAAGGGGTTAACCACCGCGACCTTAAAGATCTATTGTGTCTCCCTTTCTTGATTTATAGCTCATCATACAGTCTATACCTCATCATACATGGGGATCTTCCTGTTGTAGAGGGAACAGGGTATTTCTCATCCTCCTCTGACAACAGATATTCATCCTCCGAGGAGTGAGCATCTACCTCCTACGAGGGTATACCCTTCCACGGTTGGGGTTTAGCCTTCCGTGCCCTTCACAGTGGAGGAGCTTGTCTCCGGCTGAGGTACTGTGAGGTACCGTGAGGTGGAGGCTGGAGGATCTGTCTCCATTTTCTCCACCTCTTTAACTTGGTCCCTCCTTAGACCTGATGTCCCGAATCTATAATAGAGGATATATCCCACTTTCTTTATTTCCTCCTACCATATTGCCAATTTGAGGTCAATTACACCGCAAGCGCTAGTCGGTGCACTTCTACAGAGCCCAGCATGTAGAAGTAATAATGGAGACGTGAATACAACGGGTTGCTTTCTGGTGCCCCATGGTTGAGACCAGTAGAGGCTAGTAGTGATGGGCAAAACTCTTATTTTTAGATAACAGTTGAAACTGTTATAGTTATTTATAAAAAGCAACTTAAAATAACAGCTTAAAAATAACAGGTTTCTTTATTTCCTCTTATAAAGACAATCTGGGGACATACTGTATAAACAAGGGTAATATCTAATTATAGTATTTCAAGAGATTAATTTTTCTTAGTGCGATTCCAAATAATTTGAAGTCTGTATAATTTAGCCTTTACTTGTTTTAGTAGTTGAAAAGTAATATCTTTATTTAGTGTATTTTTAGTATCTATCGTTTGTTGTATCATTATCTCTGAATAGTAAATTTGTTTTTTGAAGAGCTTTAAATCGCAGCAAAACCAACGAATATACTTATTTATTATAATTATTTAAAATTAATATTATACTCAATGTGTTTGCTACCTTTTAAACAGTCTTTTCTTAATTTAGTGTTTTTATTCTTATCACCATCTATAACAGTAATCGCGTATAGTCAGTAAGTGGTGAAAAATACAAAACTATTACTTTGCAACTACTGTATTGTAATAATTTAAGACTGGGAAAATTTAGAAAAACTCAAAAAAAAATATTCATATTACTAAATAATTAATTAAGGAACTTCTCATTATTATAATAAATAAATTAATCACTAAATTTCTAAGCACCATTCACAATTTCTTAAAGTAAATCTTAGTAAAATTGTCTTTGAAGAGTTTTAAAATGTAGCAACAACAATGAAAGTATATATTTAAAGATATTAATAAATAAAAAATAACTAATTGGAACTTAATAACTAAGTACTGAAACATACAGCGCCCTAATATCTCGACCTCCGCCCGTTATGCTCGTAACAGGTTGAAAAACAATGTATGTAAAACAACTGATGCGTAATTCTCCAACCTGTTTCGAACATCCATCGACAATCGACCGAT